GTTAGTAATCTTGTAGACCCACAGCGTTTGTCATTCCCCCTATTTTTGCCCCTCTTGAACCCCCACGCGTCCCTTTACCCCAAATCAAACTCTCTCACCTACCTAAAAAGATGGTAGGGGGACATGGGTGGGTAAAATAATCATAAAGGAACGGTTAATAGGAGCAAAAGAATAGGGGGTTGGATAAAATGGTGGAATGTAAATAAAGAAGTTTATGCATACAAAAAATTGAGAACAAAAACATTGATATTGAGAAAACAAAATTGTAAGCCAAAGTAAATCTTATTTTGTCTAACGCATATTGTGTTGAGTCAGAACCAATTGTCAATTTTTGAAAATTTCAGTCAAACTTTGGAAAATTTTTATCATTCTTCATTAAACATGGAAGTCACTGATTCGTCAAAAGTCAGGTTGTAATCCGTTTTCAACAATTATAATCGATTATTCTTGAATTATAAAGAGAATGAACATGAAACTTTAAAAAATTCAATCATTACCCATGAAAAACCAAAACGGGAAGTTAATAAACAGACAGGCTAGGAGCAGAAAGACTTCACGAGGTCAAAACTGAAAACTTTATGGACAAATTGATAAAACAAGAAATAAAATGATCAAAAATACCAACGAATAAATAATTCATACATAAGTTGAGCAGATCCGTCAAGTTTTTTCATTTAAATACTCAGTTTGGATAGTTTAGATTTGAGTTACTTACTTTTTCGATTAGCCCGTATAGCTCAAACTTTTTTTCTGTTTTTCTGCTCTTCAATTTTTTTTCCTCGTAAGCCATTCTGCTCAATGTACCCCCTTTTACTGGTTGAAACTTGCTAAAAGCATTTATGCTGGTCATCTCTCAATGATTTTTTTTCTTTTTCTTTCCCGTGTCAAGCGTTAATAATCGATTATATTACGATTTTATTACCAGTTTTACTAAAATTGAGACACAATCGGTTTTAATCAATTAATAATCGATTATGATCTCTTATTTTAAAATCAAATTATAACTAACTATTATCCATTATAATCGATTATAATCAATTATTTATTCGTCTTTTTTTCGAAACAATTGTAATCGATTATAATTGATTACAACCCATTTTTTTAATTCAAATTTCTATTTCATTAGTTTTGCTTAAAAATCCATTATAATTGATTATAATTGATTATAACCCCTTTTGTCTGTCCATTTTTGTCTTCGAAGTTGCATCTAAATGCTTATATTTTATGCTTTTTGTGGACGTTAGTTCCTATGAAAAATCAGAAAATTATTTTTAAAGTTTTCCAATTTATTCAAATTTTTGAGTTTTTTTTCTTCCCCACTAGAGTTGTTTTGTGATGCATATTTTAAACGTTTTTAAACACCAAAATGTCAGCAAATTGGTTTAGTTTTATGATTGATTCGGAAAATTTATTTTTCATCTACCGCGGGAACCGTTCCACTCATTTGAAAGGATCTCTATGAAATTTTTGCTTCGTGGTAAAACTTTGTGTTCAGATGAACCAAAGTGTTCAAGAGATCTCTCTTTTAGAGATTTTTTATTGACACAAAAATAATAAATAACCCATAAGATATAATTGGAGTATAGAAAAATTTCGGCAAATAAGAGATTATAATCGATTATAATCAATTATAATCGATTATATTTGATTTTAAGGGTTTTCAGTAAGAACTATAATAAAATATAATCGATTATAAAAGATTATAATCTCTTGGAAAATATCACAATTATAATCAATTTTAAATCCCTTAAATACCTAATTTTGGTATTTATATTCAATTATAATTGTCAAAAAATCATAAAAGTAATCCGTTATAATCGATTATTTACGCCTAAACTTGGATGCGGGTTTGTAAACGGTAATTGAAATCAAAGTTCGTTTTTTGTAGACAAAAACAATTAATAATAATTTAAAAACTTTGACAAATCACGATTGAATAACGAAGATTGAATAACAAACTCATAGTTATTCAAATACTAAAGTTTGAATACGCACTTTAGCAAAAAAATTAAGCTAGAAAACAAGTCATTTTCAATCTTTCTGATGGGAGTGCTTAACAAACCAGGAATTAAATCTGATTACTAAAAAGCTATCTGGAGCAAAAAATAAAAATTGTTAACAGAATTTTACTTCATTTCTTCGTCAATTTCAAGCTATTTTTTAGAGTGGAAACAAGCAAATGTTTTAGCGCTCGGCCTCCCGGGTTGACGTCCATAGAAGAAAAATGCTTATCATACAGTTTCATATGTGAAATCTTTGGAAAAAATGATTATCATAGAAAATTTATACAAAATTCAAAAAGTGTTTTAAAAATGTTTAATGAACATTTTTGTTCTACTTGCCTCTTTTGCAGCCTTCTGGTCATTAAAAAATTTCTTCTAGGTTAAACTAAAAAGGTTAAACTTTTCAAAATTTTCTACAATAACTGAACTTCAATGTGATTCACTTTGCGCATAGTAACACATTTACAAGTGTAAATATCTGATTATAACTAAAGATAGACCATTAGTTTTGCAAAGACAATCGTTTTAAAAAATCTGTCCTTTTTCTGTCTTTTTTTGCAGTCTTGGGTCGCAGAAACGCTCTGCAAACCTTGGTGTGAAAATTCAAGGACATTGTTTTGCTTACTCCTACACATTCATTCTACTATATTAAAACATAGCAAAGAATAGCCAGTTACTGTGCAAGTAGCACAGAATGTTCCGACCACAGTCTTGAAATAATACAAAAATGTTTTCTCAAATTGATGTCGTTTTTTTGCTACATATTGTCAGAAAAAAAATTCTGAACGAAAAAATAGAACTTCGGAAAATTTGGGATAATCATAGTGAAAGAGGTCAATTGGAAATTTGCTTATGAAGAAAAATGACAAGAAAAACGAAAAAAAAATTGAACAAAAAATACTTTTGCAGAAACTTTTTAATTTTCCAAGTTTTTGATTCCCAAAATTGCGTTTAAAAACTCCAAAAACTACTTTTTCTTCAGTAAAATTAAAATTTCACGGCTTAAAATGAGCTCAAGTAAGCTTTTGCAACTACTGACTAACTACTACTTAGCTCAAAATTGGATCAAAAATCAAAAATTTCAAACCAATTTTCTCAACACTGTGACATGTGAAAAAAATTTAAATGTCATTTAAATCACGACTGAAAGGGCCTTAATATAATATATCACTCAACCCTGTCTTATGGTTTTTTGTGTTTGTTGATTTTTTGTAGAATCCAAAACTTCTCCCCATTTTCAATGGTGGGAAAAACAAGTTTCAGTATATCGCGACGAGATGGCAGAGTTTGACCTATTTAAATTAAAATTAAAGCTCTCATTGGACGCTACTTTTTTTTTCTATGAGTCTCGCTCTGTTATTTTGCTTTAATCTTGCCAACGCCATTGTTTGATCTTCATCTCATTTCAAGTTAAAAGTTTCAGGATACGCCGTAAAAAAGGCTTAAAAATCAGGAAGGTTTTTTCTTTCAAACTCTTTTTGAACCGAACCCTACAGAGTATCGACTTTGTCGCAGCGATCAAGTTTGTGTGGAAAGTGCTACCGAAGGTGCCAATATTTGCCATTTTGATGATGGTATCCCTCTTTACACTTTTGAATGTGAATCACTCACCCCAAAGTGTCTGTACGGAGTGGCCAGCTACTACAGAAGTCGATTAGATACCCCTGGTCAATTTTGCAATGGCGGAAGCTTTTTTGCCAGTGTTACCAACTTAAACCAATGGATCCGACAAACAATGATGACGAATTAAAAACCTCGTCAATTGAAGAAACATCTATCGTTAACAAACGCAGAAAAGTGTCTTCTCACGAAAAGATAAACTGCAATCTAGACTAAAATCTTTGGCAACTATGTTACTCGTTGTTTGTGTCAATTACTAATATATCATGAATTGAGAGAATGAGAAAAAGTGTTTTCGAAGAAGTCGAACAGTGCATTTAAAGTGCCTTAAGATTGATAAGCTTCCTACAAGGTCAGTACTGTTCAAATATGAATCTTTTTGATTGTGTTTTTCGGAAAATACAATTTTCTGAAAAAATTTTGAAAAACGAAAATTTGATGTAGTTTCCCAATTGATACAAGACCAATCTTTTATGCGCTGTCTTATAAAAATTTTTAAAATGAGTTTTGAAATGTCCTAAGTTGATGAGAAATATAACGGATGTTTCCTTTATAAGTATATTTAGCAGCTAAATTACATTCGCAAGAAATATATAAGAACGTTTTCATCTCGTTCTTTTTATCATTGACGTGTTTTTACTAATTATTTGAAAATTTTTTAAGATGACTGTTTGAGTCTATAAGTTTAAGCGATAGCCATGTTAAATGAATACAAGAAACGATTTGTCAAGATAAATCTTATCCCATTCTATTTTGTTAAAAAAGAAACATTTTTTTCAGGTGACATCTGAGTTAGCTAATATCAATGATAATTTTGCTGGCTTTTTACTTGAAGTTTTCGAATTGCTTTGAGAGCGTTTTTGAACTTCGAAACAGATCAATGAAAACTGTTTCAAGCTTTTCTCAGCTTGCTTCAATTAGAGTTCTGAATTTTAATGAATGTGAGGGCAAAAACAGTCAAATGCAGCTTATGAACGGTTTTTGGCAAAAATAAAAATCGAAGTATCGCTTTGTATAAGTTGTCGGAGAGTATTAATTAAAAAAAATTGAAATTCGAATTGAAAATTTATCGGAAATTTTAAGAAGAATAACCAGTTGTCATTGTTCCAGATTTTTTTTACATTTTTTATAAAATATATCTAGTTTTGAAAATCAAAAGGTGGGCTTAAAATTCTGATTAACAAAAGCATTATACTATTGTGAAATAGCTTTTTAGATTGTAGAGTCACCAAAAGGCAAGGGCAAAATTATGAGAATGGTAGCCCGCAAAAACGATTGAGGAAAGTTATCGCATGGTTCAAGGTTAAATTCCAAATACAAATATCATTGACGTTTAACCTTTATTTCACATTTTTGTATAGAAACTTGCGAGAGCAAACTTCTGGCTCTTAAATACCAGGATTTCACTATTTCAAAAACTATTATATGATGACTAAATTAATCAATTTTGTGATAACAGTTTTCTTCTTAAAGGAAATTAAATCACGAGTTTTTGAACAAAAAAAGAATTCTACTGGCTTATTTCATGATGAAAATGAGTTTATTGTGAATGGTTTCAACGCACCTGTTGGACGAGAATTTTTTGTCAGTTTATATTCTACATATTTGCAGAGTACTTGTGGAGGAGCTATTGTGGCTCCTTTTTGGATAATTACAGCGGCACATTGCGTTCTTATTACCCCAGGTTAGCAAAAAGATCAGAAAAAAGCCATATGGTTGACAAAACCCTGTCGAAATTGGTTTGCTTTTATAGCAGAACTTACTTAAAAATCACAAAATAAACAGTTTGTTCAAGTTTATATCATGTTCAGTTTTAGCCTTTCAATCTGTCAAATGGGGTTGAGCTAAAAAGAACCCGAAAATTTTTTTAATGAAAGTTAATATACGGTTCGGTCGAAAAATTCAAAGCTGACTGATATTTTGAGATTGTAACATTTTTTTGTCCTATTGGCCTCCAAAAAATCATGGTTTCTGTTGAAAGAAAATTTTCCACTCATATCAACACTTTCTCAAAAAAAATTATTCTGATGACAAACGCAGTCCTGTAAAATAGTATATATTTGCTCTTCTATTGAAAATTAATGTTTATGAATTTTCGTGGTAAAAGATGAATAGTTTTCGCAAAAATACTATAAAAACCCATTAAAATCCTATTAATTTGATTATTGGTATAATTTTTTTGACAATTTACTGAATGGGGGAAAACCTGTGTTTGGTTGTGCGTTGTTCTAAACGTGTTTCTGGCAGATTAATTGTTAGTATCGAGGGTTGATATCTCGGGAAACAAATTCATACAAAGTTCTATCAAAAATAAAAGTCATAAGTCTTATATATTTTTGTTGTAAACTGTATAGGAGCAAGACTAGAGAGGTTCAAAACAATCTTGAATTGAAACAAAAGTCAGTTCTTCCACAATTTTTATCATCTAACAAAAAAGCGTTTGGTTGGTTGACAGCTCTAATTTCTGCAGGCCTCGAACAGTTTAACAAATGAGACTTGAGATGATATTGTGTTTTGCATTGGTAAACAAAATTTCTACAGAAGCTTTTTTTGAGAACCCAAAACTTTGAAATGCCCAGAACCTTGAAAAAAAATCTTGAAAAGCGACACTTTTCATAAAACAACAATTAAGACAAAAAAGTGATGAAATATATATGTTTTTAATCTTTAGACCTTCCAGATTTCGTCGAAAATTTTCTTGGAAAATTTTCGCAAAACAATTGCGTTTTTCAGTCTCTCTGCTATACTCTCTGCTGTTATTTTTACGAGAAATAAACTTGGGCCGTAAAGACATCAATTTAGATTGTTCAGACAACGGGCAGTTACACCTGAGCTTAAAGAGTTTTGGGATTAAATTTTTTGACATTATTTTTTATTTATTATTTATTTTGTAGAAAAGAGATTTTTTGCAGCTGAGGCAAGACGAATTTAAAACATCTACTCATTTGAATATCTCTGTCAGAGTGTTACATTGAGCGAAATTAAAATTTAAAAAAAGTTCGCCTCAAATGATAATTTTGGATTTTCAAAAATTTTTTTATTTAGGTCGAGCAAATTGAAGTCCCCTACACCTGAGCTTAGAGAGTTTTGGGATTAAATTTTTAGACAATTTTTTTTATTTATTATTTATTTTGTAGTAAAAAAATCTTTTGCAGCTGAGGCAAGACGAATTTAAAACATCTACTCATTTAAATATCTCTGTCAGAGTGTTACATTGAGCGAAAATAAAATATTTTGAAAAAACTGGCTAAAAAGGCGTTTTTAGGCACTTTTTGGAAAATGTTGACACCTAAAAATTAGTATAAACTGGCGCCAAAGGCGCCTTTAGAAAAAATTTAGGGTCCGTTGCCAAAAATGGATATCTCAAAATAGTACAAAGGGTCGACCCTTTGGATCGACAGGTGGTCGAATTCCTGAAGAAGGGGCATTCACCCCACCGTCCCCCTAAATCCGCCCCTGCATGATAGCCATTTCTACCATTTAATGGATTGTGGGCTAGCAATTTTTCCATTCAAAGGAATTGTATGATAAAAGTTACCACGGAAGAATTTTGCATAAACACCAATTTAAGGTCTCCAAAAAGTGTCTCAAAATTCATAAAGTAAATTTTGTTATTTTTGGCTAAAACAAACAATTCCGAGCGATGCCCTCAAAGTAAAACAAAAATGAACTTGAACAATAATTGGCCAGAAAAGTCAAAATTTGATATTTTTGACTCAACACAGACGACGTTTGGTTTTAGCTCGATTACAAAAAAATCTGGTAGTTTCAGCCCATTTCTGAAATTTTGAATGCTTTTAAAACGTTACTCATATTCTAAACGTTACTATATTTTATAATTTGTTATTTCGAAAACATGAATCTCAATTTTAGCGTTAAATTTACGTAGTTTTTCTGCAAAATCAGACACAAACGAAAGATAGAAAGTAATTATTGGCAAAACAAGTGCTTCAACTTAAAAACTCGTTTTTTAAAAATCGTTACAGATAAATTGTCAACTGTCCCGAATAGGGTACTTTGTAAAAAATATCCTTCAGCATAATGAATGACATTTAATACGAATGAGCAACGAGTCACCCAGAAAATAAGAAAAAAATTTAATTTTGGAATTTCAAGGACAAGATGCCCATTTTAGTTGAACACCTTTCTGTTGTGTCGGATCTTATAGTACAATGGTCAAATCCATCATATGCGTCATATGGCTTCCGCGGGGTTCAATACAAATTCATACCTGCCAGGTGAGAGTTTTTGACTCATGTTCTGCTAATAAAAATGGAAGTTTCAAAGACGCCATGCCTTTGCGCTGTATTTTTTTTTCAGAGGAAGTCGTTCAGATTCTGATAAGTTTTAGAAAAATATGGTTTCTCAATATACCTATTATCTATCTCGGGTTTTTAGATGAAAATATGGATTTGAACATCTGATCTTGTTCCACCGTAAATCTCGAATTATGGTACTAAGGCATAATTTGATCGATTTATTGTTTTCTTCTAGCAACATTACCCCCAATCTTCTCTTTATGGTTTGTATTGTTAGTTCTACCAAACCACAGCCTCGATGATCCCCCACAAAATTTCTGCTCGATGTTAAGATCCGAACAAAACTTTTTTAGAGTTTTCCCCTTAAATCCTGAAAATTGATCGGAGCGTATCGATTCCGGAATGCCATGTATGTCTATATAAGATCTCAAGAATTTCACCGTGCACTTCCCACTTGTAGATTTCGTAAGTTTCACCGACGGAAATTTTGAGAATCTATCTATAGCTACTAGGAGGTTTATTCTATATTTTTGCAAAAGAATTGCAGTTTGCAAAATTTTTTCAGCCGCAAACTTGTTCTCCGGTAGAAAATCAAAATCTTCCTACCACTATATAATACCCAGCCTATCTATTAATTTTCTTCCTTTTACTTGGGTCAATGAAAGACTTGAATGGAATTTTAAGATAGCTTGATCCTAAAGTTCTTAGAAACCGTATAAAAGACAGTTTTGGAGTTGATCGGTGACAATTATTACATAATTGCCGCATCGGAATTGGTTACTGACTTTCGAAGCTTTTAGTTTTGAAGTGAACAATGGAGAGTTCAAAAACGACATTGCTCTGCTCAAATTACTGCAACCTATAACGACCCCAAATCGAATATTGCCCATTTGCAGCGACAGTGCACATACCATCCATTTCGACATTCTAGGGGAGAAATCAAACTAATGCACACGTTAACAGCAGAATACTTTTTATATAACACTATCACATCTGACAATTAAATATGATCTGAGCTCAAACTATAAAAATTTTTACATCCGGCGGTTTGAGAACCAAAAATTGGCATTATATATTGAGCGTTATAACCAGCTTTTTTTACAAGAAATTATACGTAAAAGATAATTTAATCCGGCTCAAAAAAACTCCAAGCTCACATAGGGCAGATTTTTCAATTCATCTCTTTTTTGTTATTCGTATGTCGATTTTGCAACAAAAAAAACCTGGGACAGAAAAACTGTTTATTTCTTGTTCTTGAAAGTTTCATTCATTTTGCACAATTTATTTCATAAACTTTGTCAAAACGTGAACTTGAGAGGACGTTGAAAGGCACGCAAACCATTCAGAACTTTTCCCTGATACACGCAATTTAATGATTTTGTAGATTTACTCTTGGAAGTGATGCAAAAATTTCTGAGATGTTTATTAGTCTCAAAAGGGGTTTCGCGTCACAACAGATGTATTTTTAAACTGTTAGCATAAAGAAGACCTAAAACTGAGATCTAAATATGAAAGCATCAGCGAAAAGGTGTAGTCTAGAGCAAATTTTCTTTAAAGAACCTTAGAAAAACTTAATAATCTTAAGTTTTTTTTTCATTTTGTCGTGTGCTTTCTTCGATATTTTGTTAAGTTAATGCTCGGCGAAAGGAAAAGAAAAAAATTTTGGCTCCAATTTTTTTCGAAAATTTGCTTCAATGATTGAAAACTATCCTGCTCCAATTGGTTAGCTCATATCAGTTAATTTTGATATCTCAAAGAAAGACATTTGCACCAAACATTTAGCACACTTTTTGTTCTCAAATTGTTTTCTCGGGGAAACTGTAACCAAAACGACAACTGAGTGTAATGTGCTAGATTGATTTTTCATCTCCAGGAGCCGTTGGAATGGGCGTTAATTCAACTACCCATCCTACTTATCCTTCTGTTTTACAGGCAAATTTTCAGCCCTCTTCTATAGCAGAAACAGATCCGCTATCGCTTAAAACATTGTCTCACTTTCAAGTGGAAACATGCACTTTGTCGATCATATTTTGTTAACAGGCTTAGATTTCCAATGTTGATGCTTGGGTTTACAAATTTTGGTACTTAATCATGAGGAAAGGATCATAGCTATAAACATCCATAACGCTAGTCGTACAATTTCACACTTGATAAACTAGCATTTCATGTCTGAAATTTACCACTATGTTTTTCCGCACGGTAAACTTTTTTCGTAGTGTCCTCAAGTTTTTTTGTGTTATCAGTTTGTGTTATCAGTTATAAACAAAAATTGTTATAATTTTTTCAGGATTTTTTTCTAGTCCAAAAGGTTTTTAGATACCATTCCGAGTAGAATATCAATTTTCATTGCTCTCAGATTCATTTTAATTATTTTCTGTTGATATAAAACAAAGCCATGTTTTTTAAAAAAAGCCACATTCCTTTTTTCATAGTATGGAGTTTTATGACTAGCGTTTTTAAATGGCTCCGTTTTGAAATTGTATGAACGTCATTTTATATGTGGGGAGAACAACCAGTGATTTTTACTTACAAGGCTTTAAAAGATGCTTGAACTAAGTCCTCCCACACTCAAAACATAAAGTAAATCAACATAAAAAATTTCGAATACAAAACTGCTTAATTGTTAACCAAAAAAAGTTTTTCAGGGTCATTTTATTAGGTAAAACAACAAACAGTTTTGTGCTATCAATTCTTGAATTTGCGAATAATCGATTAGTATTATCTTAAAACGACAAACATACCAGTTGAAACTGAAAAACAGCACAAACACAAATTATTTTCTCCGAGTTGAGAAGTCTAGATTGTAAGTTCTTATCGATGAAAAATCAATTAAAAAAATCTCATTTCCGTTTGTTAGATCCATCCATTATTGCACATGATCACAGTTTTTTTTTAACCATTTCCGTTTTCTTCGGTAAAAATTGGTTTTGAACCAAAGAATTTCCAAAATCATGCTAGTTTGTTTTGCTTATGATGGATGACAAAACCTATCTTGTTAGTCTGGTATTCATTCTGCTTCTATGATTTTTACATAATCAGCGAAACGTTTACACATCTTTTCAACTAATCTGATTTTACAGGTGAAATTAAATTTAAAATTAAAAATAAAATTAAATGTAAAACAGTAAATAAAATTCAAAAATAATTTTTGTTTGCTCTGCCTATGATGGATGACCAAACCTATCTTGCTAGTCAGTTATTCTTCCTGCATCGATGTGGTTATTTAAAAACAGCAAAATGTTTCCAAATCTTTTATAGAAATCAGGCTTTTCTTTTTTTTCAAATTACAGAAAAAGTACAAAAACAGCAAAAAGAGGGCTTGAAAGTTCAGGAAGGTTATTTCTTTCAAACAATTTTCGATTCAAGCTCACCTCCTGCAGAGCAAATAATCTCTTTTTGTCGGGATGATCAAGTTTGCGTGGAAAGCGCAATCGAAGGCACCAATATCTGTCACTTGGACGACGGTATTCCTCTTTACACTTTTGAGTGTGGAACAATTACCCCAAAGTGTATTTACGGAGTGGCCAGCTATTATAAAAGTCGAACTGATGAACCTGGTCGGATTTGCAACGATGGAAGTTTCTTCGCAAGTGTATCCAATTTATATTCTTGGATTTGGCACACAATGATGACATATTGAATATTGAAACCCTTAATCAGAAACAATGATGTTCGGAGAAAGCAGGAAAAAATTGGAGAAGAGAAAACATGACAATTTTTTGAAATTTCGTTTCTGTCAACTGTCAAGCAACGGCCAATGAATCACACTTATATCAATTTGCATCCGCTTTCTCGAAAAAAATCTCAGCCGGTTTCATTATTTCTCTTATAAATATAAAATGATTTCTCAATAGTTTTTGAAAAAAATTCTTTGAAAAAATTTCGCTCTGCTGAAAAAATTTTTTGAATACTGAAAACAAATACAAATATTGAAAACAACAAAACAATTGAAATGAACTAAGCCGGTTGATGTACCACAAGAAAAGTGATGAAATATGGTGTGTATCTGACACATGGGTCATTTTTGAACATTGTATAAATTCACATGGTTCAATTTTTCAATTTCTTTTTCATCTTTCTCAAATCTTGTACAAAATCATGTTCAATCATCTTTTCATAAAAAATTGATAAGAACAAACTTTTCAAATTTTATTTGTTTTTGGCTGGAGTAGGAAATTTCAGCCAGTTTTTTCAATAAATGCTGGATAAATGTTTGAAAAAAACACGCTAGAATTTATGCTGAGAGAAAATTAAAAACTGCAGTTACTTATCTTTTATAATCAACTTTTTAAAAGTGATATGTAAGCTAGCATGATTTTTTTTGTTCAAGAAAAAATGGATATGGAGATCTACAGACACGGGATATCGAAGCTCCAACGCTTTGATTGCAATGAGAAAAAGAACTATTTTTTCACGATTTGTTTGTTTTCTTTGCAACTGTTTAAGATAGAACATTCAAATTTTGACAAAAAGTAGATGAAAAGATTAGAAAGCGGCGTGAATAAGCCAGCTGAGCATAACTAAATTTTGCAGGGTTCTTGATGGTGAAACAACCTCACAAATATTAATGGGAATTCGAATCATTTGACTCAAATTAGCTGTGTCGACTGAATTCGATCATCAGCGAGAGCGCGAAGTTCTTCAAAAAGTAACACCCGTTTTCTTACGCTAGACTAAGTGACCGTGTTAATTCTGTTATTTGTAATTTTTAGACCGCATAATGGGCAAGTCAAGCTCATCAGCTTCCCAATAAATGAGTTTGAGCCCGTTAATTCGAATTCCTGATATAGTCTGTGAGATTGTTTCCATAGCAAGAACATACGTAAATTTAGTTATAAAAAGCTTGCTAAATTACGTTTTAAAACAATACTTTTCATTTTTTGTCTCGGTTTTACCCTTTAAATAACAGACGATGGGTATTGTTTAGTTGAAAAACTCTTATCGTCTTTCCGTCAATTTTTCAAAAAAATTGATTCCATGCCCTTACATGTTTTTACATCAGTTGATTTAACACCTAATCAACATCTCAAAAAAGAAGTTTGAATGACTATGGCGAGGATCGAAGTTGTTAGAAAGAACAATGTTTTTTATTGATTTGTTTTGAAACAAATCCGGTAGCACAATTGAGAAACAGGAAACTTTTATATGGTTCATTTAATAATTATCATTGTTTGAAAAATTTATTCGCATCGTTTTTTCAAACTGAAAACGTTTAAAGCTCAAATTGTAAATAACTTTATAATTTATTTTTCTAACAAATAAATGAAGTTATAAGCATACTTTTTGATGAAATATTTCAGAGTTTGCAGTATCATTAATCTGTTTGGCTAATCAGTTCAAATTGTCTTAACAATTAATTGCCGGTATCGTTCAGAGCCACTTCACCATGACGTAATTGAAACAACATATGTTGTTGCACAGCAGTTGACATTTCTTTGCTCATTTATGAACTACTAGCTATACCAAACAAGTCTTCTGCTCGTATCAGGGCCAAACCCTTAACCTTCCGACTACTTTTTTAAGCCAATTGTGTAGTGTTCTATATTTGTATAAAAATGAGGAACAATCTAAAAAAAAATGCTATATGCTTTTTATTTTTAAAAGGTTGTATTTCTACACATTATGTAAATTAAAAATTGATATAATAAGCTTTCACTAAAGAATTGAATAGACATCATAAAATGTCCCATTCTCTTTTCAACGGTTTCTGAATATGGATTGAATATCTGGTTACGTGTTTTCGTATCGCAAATTTAATATAACAAACTGGCAATCTTTATATCCCATGGAAAATTGATCGCAAGAGAAATATCTTTTTAAGTATAAAATTACGATAAAAACGTTTTTATCTCAAGTAAAAATTGAAAATAGTTGATAAAGACAACGTCGAGTTTTGTCTGGAGAAAAAACGACAAAAAGCACAAGG